CCCCACAAAAATAATCCTTTTACTTTAAAAAGTTGTATGTTATAAACTTTTAATTGGCTTTACAATTTGGACACCATCGTAATGCAACCTTGTTACTGACTTGCTAAAGCTGATTTAAAATAATATTTGTTTTCTCTTCTTTTAATAGAAAAATTAAGCGGAACATTTCTGCCTCCATCCTAACCAATACAATAAAATATTATATATTTTTCTTGTACCAGCCATATTTTTAAAGTGCCTTGTGTCTCACTACAGGCTAAGTTAGTTTGTATATAAAGCAATGTTTGCTTTTACTGGATGTCAGGCAAACACAAAGTTTTAATTTCTAATATTTCACAATGAGTTACAACTGAGAGAATCTCAAAACTCAACAAGCAACTGGGCCATTTTACAGGCCTACAAGATCTGAGATCAGTAATGGCTAGAGAGATGCTAGAGTTGGGATACATTTACTTCATTTTGATTTTGATCCTTGTTTCTTTATAAATATTAAAAATATTCCAACTTAAAATTTTTCAGTTATTAAATAGACAATTACTGTTAACCAATATGCAACAGAATAAAAATATAGAACCATATATAGATTTAGCTAGGCATATGATAACAAAGCATATTATCCTTTAGTTACAACTTTCCAAATGCCAATCTTTTTAAAAAATGCTAAAATCATGGAACATTCAAGTAATATATAAGTAAAATTAAATGTAATAAAATAAGTTAAAATGAAAATGTAAAATGAAGTGTTCAGTACTTCTCTTTTCTTTTTCCCCTAACCACTATTACTCAGATATTTATACTTTGCTTTAAATCTTTATAACTATTGCCTGAAATCAGCATAAGGCCAATCAGATGGTTCATTACCTTTTTTCTTTAGCTGTGCCCAAGTCTAAAATATCTGTAACTAAAATTCCTATCCCATCATCTCCAGCCAACATGTTAATGGTCAGAAGCAATCCAAGTTCTTCTGCAGAACATTGGAAAACACTAGGTCAAAGCAATAGATAGTTAATTTGGTAGCAAAGAGGTTTCCAAATAAATAAATAAAATATAAAATAAGTGAAGTGATGGGAGAAAGATAGCTGAAGTTTTACTGTGACTGAAGAAACATGTGTATCAATAAAGGTGAGGCCAAAATTGGCAGTAATTCCATTGGGTGTTTCAATGCTGTTTGGGCAATTTTGTTTTACAACAGATTAATCAACCAACTCAGAAAGTGATAGAATACCAATCAACTCTCAATTCTGCATGTAGCTACCAAACTGTGAAAGCAGATGACTTATTAACTCTTCTCCACAAGCACCCATTCAAAGGATAATGCAAACTGTATTTTCCCTCATCTGTCTGCTAGTAAGAAAGCATTCAAGAACCCATGAATATATGTTCTGGGGAACAATTAAAAACACAGACTTCAACATAATCTTGTATCTGGTTCTAAAGTAGGTTTTTAATAGATCAGACCTGCCCAGGAAAACAATGGTTTCACAATTCATTCTGGAAAGAAGTGAACAGCATACAGAAATATTTATATGAGAAAATTTTAATACTGAGAGGAGGAGGAGGAGGAATAGATAAATTGATACAGAAAAAAGTTTTAGAAGCAAGTTACAGTACTGAAATCAAGAGGCAAGTTAGCCATAATTTATTTCAAACCCGCAACTTCTCTCCTCTGGTCACTGCCCTACTTGGCCTTTTAGCTTAAGCTTCAAGGGAGCCTGAATACCTGGATTATAAAAAAGGCATTAATCTCCAACTAGAACTTTCCAGAGCGCTTGTCCATTTTACCTAAGCTTCTTCTAAATCAGGAATACCCAAATTCTTCACCTCATCAATCCCTGGGCTCAGGAATTCTGGGAGTTCAAGTCCACAAGTCCTAAAGGGGCCATAGTTCCCCACCCATTTTAGATGGCTCATTCACACCCCATATGCCATTTATTGTATTAAAAATACTAATGTTACTAATAATATTACAAATGACAATGGTAACAATAACAGATAGTACCATCAACCCTTGGAGATCATGAGCGCTTTGGGGAACCCCTTTCAAAAGAGTACTAGAATTTCACTGACTGAAGATTGACTTAAACCAATAAAGATAGAGGACATATGCCAGATGTGGGCTATTTCTGTCCCCACTGGCTGCTATACAGTTCTTGCACTGCTTCTGCTACCAAGTGGTTTCACACAGCTGCGTTTACCAGAAAGCACTGAAACTGCCACCAACCCTCCAGGATGAGTATCGTGCAGTTGCATTTCCTGTGGCTGTCCAATGGGGAGGGGGACTTTGCAAACTCTATTCCGACTTCTATGAATTATATCCATTGAGTCTACTCAGATGCTGCTAGCCAGGTCAGAATTAGATTCCTTGGCCAGTCATGATTAGCATTACTATTTCTTTGCACCTCAGAGCTTGTTCATTATCAACTGTTTCCTACCCTCTTTTTCACCCTGCATGCACCCACAAGATCTGCCATCAGTCAGCACAATTGATAGTTAAGCATGTCATTCTAAACATGCAAGTAAACTTGCACCTTAAGGATGTGTCTAAACTCCAGCCTTCAGGAGAGTGATCTATGATTGCTATTAACTCAGGCAGGGAATGCTTAGTGGGAGAAGAAAGGAATCCAGGGGGATCTATCAATCCTTAGCTTCATAAATAAAGAAAACACAGTTAACGGGGTTCTTTCTTGCAGCAGGAAAATACACTGCCAGTGGGAGCAGCACAATAATGCTGGCATAGTTTTCGACAAGCAGGTGCTTTAACTAGAACAGATGTGTTTCCAGAGATTTATCCCAACAGTTTAGGAAGGAGGTGTAAAGCTGTAGGAGCTGCAGCCACTGTTTGGCAGAAAAAAGAAAGCCAAGAATTGTAGCTGATGGCTAACAAAGAAGCTAATCTTTTGTCTCTGCTGGCACCTCTGAAACCTTATCACCGAAGCCCATCCATTGGTGCAGCACTTTTCCTGTTTGTGCAAACCACGCAAAAGCCGGCAAGGATTCGCAGACCACGCTCACTAAAGAGGAAACGCGACCACGACGCCTTCTATTTTATTTGCTCGGGAAGCGAAGCACAAAGCAACGGAGCAGATTGTTGCCAAGCTGCCCCTCTCTTCGGCTGTATCGGGGCGGTCGTACCCCGCAAAGCGAGAAAGCCGGAGGAGAAAGAAGGGTCATCTCCAGGTTAGAGGGGAGTGAGCTGCTCTCAGGCCCCCCTTCTTGTCATGCCCCCCCCTTTTCTGCCTGAACTACAGCTGGACGATTTTGCGACTGAGTTGTCATCTGCAGCTTCGCCGAGGAAGGAGACGTTTGCAAAGAAAACGCTACCTAGGATGGGACTGTATTGGGGTGACAAGGAAGGAGACAAGCAGTCCTGGCTGACACGCATCTCCAAGTCTCCCGCCTTCCTATTCGAAACGCTGCGCTACCATTTAGCCTCCGCAGGATTTCTCGAGGGGCTAAGCAAGCAGACAAGCATGAAATGTATAGGTGCCGGCGGAGGGAGCAGGAATCGGAGCGGAGGCAGACCAGAGAAATACACACACATATACACGCCCCTCTCCAGTACGGGCAGCATCTCCTCTCTTTGCTGGGCGGGAAGGAGCGGGAGCAAGATAGTTACCCTACCTAAACGGCAACGTCTTTTGCTGCTGTAGTATACGCGAACCGCGTTGGCTTTCCCAGGCACCACGGGCTCCCCACCTCCTATCGGACACGCCTTCCCACCCGCCAACAGACATGCCTACACCAAACAAGCCAGCTTCAGGATTAAATTAGTCCTATGCCCGCCAACGGCCGCGTAAAAAATGCAGCAGTAGCAACAGCAACCAGGATCCTCCTTGAATCCTCCAAAACATAAGTCGGTGGGGCTAATCCCGCCGCTTCCTCCAATTGACAAGCTTGTCAGAATTAAATACAACCTTGTATCGTAAAAATGGGGGAGGTTCCTTTTTCCCCTCCCTTTAATTGCGCGCTTCGAACTGCAGTCTCGCCACAGCTACGCCGCACTAGACGGGCTAAAGTTTTGTTTTGCTTATAAAGTGTCAAGGCTCGACAGTCGGGACGCGTGGCAATATGAATCATTTGTCATCGCCTCGAACGAAAAATAACATAAGGGCGGCTTTGGACGTGTTGTTGCCCCGAAGGAGCACTGGGTATATTAACGGGGACGTGCCTCTCTACAAAGAGGACACGCGTCCCTCAACACTCACAGAAAACTTGGCCTTCGGGAGACGGCGTGAGATTCCGAGGGCAAGCACAATATCATCAGCAGCTGAGCGCAATCTAACTTGCTTCGGTGCTAATCCTGTTTAAATGATCTAAAGATGAAGTGTAACCCAGTAGAAGCGGAAAGGGAATAAAGTCAACATACATGATGAGCACTAACTTGGCAGTAATTCCCACTTAAAATTTCCGTCTAGGTCCAGGGCGTTCCGAATCCGCAACCCTTCTCTATAAAGCACAGCTGAACTTCTGGAAGGGAGGAAGGAATGCCACTCCCCCTCAACCAGCAGTATAAGAAAACAGACCCGCTTCCCGCATCTCAAGCTACTCTCGCTACTTCGAAATCTGTGAACGCTTCCAAATATCTAGCGTGCCCCTTATTTTATTCAACTCTTTGCAACTGCCCAGCCGTCGAACAACCCATTTGGGCAATCACTCTTCTCCCCCCCCCCTTTCAACTTCTTTCCAAAACCCGCGCCATCGTTTTCGCCTTGGGGTCACATCTGTCCTGAAGCCGACCGTAACGCTTAGCTACGCGAGGGCGAAATCGCAGATTGCAGATCCAAAGGAAGTGGGCGGCCGGGGGGAGAGAAATCTTCACAACATCCTCAGAAAAAGAAAAAAAAAATACACACCTACTCAATACGAGTTGGAGAGGGGGGAAGGGGGCTGAAAGGAAGGAAATACCACTGGCCCCTTTGCACCTTAATGCGCTGTGTGCGCATCCCAGCTCTCCTCCCTGTTTTGTCAAATACATGTGAAAGCAAACGCTTTGCATTTACCCGTTGGGTTGCGCCTCCGGGTGCCCCTCCGTTCTTGCAATCTCTTTTGTCTTGTAAAAGATCAGGAGGATACTTATCGTGCAGATAGTCCACCTCTTCCTGATGGAACGCATGTCTCCTGCAAAATCAGAATTCCTTCTATTTCCTTTGTTTGGCAGGATGCAAAGAGAAAAGGGAGCAAAGGAGATAAAACAAAGCAGCGTTCAGCCAATTTTTTTTTTTAAAAAAAAAGGAAAGAAAAAAAAAGCTGACTTTGTGTTGTGGGAGGCGAGGCTACCGCTGCTTCTCCCTCCCCCGCGGGCGAAGTCCTGCCCGAAGTCCACGCGCTCCCGAGAACGCTCGGCAATTGCTCCTCTCCAAGCTCCTCTCACGCTGCCTTCCCGTTTAGGTAACAGCAGAGGCGGCAGCCGCTAGTCTCCGGGGCGTCACGTAGCCCCGCCCTTTCCCTAGCGGGGAAATGATGAGCAAAGCCCAGCCAATAGGTGGCCAGAGGAGGCGGGGAACGCTGCTTCTTCAACTTTAAAAAGCGCCTTTCGGAGAGGAGAGGGGAAGCTTGCTCAGGGCAGTCATCGGATCTCGGTGGGAAGAAAGTGGCCAACGAAGGTGGTGGCCTGGAAGATTCTTTTCTTCCCCTTAGGTTGCGAGGACCTCAGTGTTCCTCGAGACCACTTAGGCAAAAGTAAGTCCCCAGGAGTTCACTGACGCTGATTCCTGAGGGGCGAGTAGGGTTTTTTTTTTCTTCTTTTAACGCGCTCGGTGAGATGGTCCGCCTTACCTTGACTCTGCATTGCTTGAAGGAAAGATGCGATCAAAAGACGATCGTGCTTTTGTTGGAAGATGATTTGCATTTGTTTTATTGGCGAACGTGGCGGTAAAACAAAAAAAAAAGTGGAACTTCTGAGTGTTCTTGCCCGTGGTTAACCTAAGACAATGATTCCTTGACGTCCACCTTGACTCAGCAACAATTATATGGTGGTGTGTTATTGTTGCTTTTTCTCTGACTGCTTTTGACTCTTCAAACTAATCCTAAATCCCAAGATTGTCTGGTGTCTCCTATTCAAGTATCAGCCGGGTCTGGCTTATCTTAATTTTGGGTTTATCCCACCGCTGAGGGTGTCCTTCAAATTCATCATTGGGTTCTGTGAACGTATGTAGGAATGACCTTGGGAGACGGGCAAAAAGGCACAACAAAGACCATACTCGGTTAAAAAGCAGCTTAGCCCGCAGCAGAAATGTAGATGGGACTGAAGAGACTCCCCTAGAGCTGTAAAGAGATGGGAGAAATGTACTTTCAGACTTCCAAGTTTCTGCTAATGTAACCTTACAATAAAGTATAATTAGCTTTATCTGGTCATGTTTCTTGTCTGGACAGATTTATACAGCAGTCTAAATCTGGATTAACAAAGCAAAAATGCTGGATTATAAAACTGATTATGCCAAATAAGTGAAGCATACTATAATATGATTGCTTTATTCATACAATGTTCACACCACATAAGGTAGTGGGTGGGATATGAAAACTTGCTGAACTACTAACTACTCAGGTTGGCCCAGGTTAGCAGGCTGGGTGAACATGATTTTCACTCTCCCTGTCCCCTGGAATTGGAGGAGCACTGGCAAACTTGGGAAGAGGATCTCTTTTAATATTATAGAAATTAAGAATTGTAGAGGAGGTGGGAGAACAGCATACGCATTGGTGGGGAGGCACTGGGCTTGGAGAACATTAGAGAATTTACTTCACTTTAAGCTATGATGTAACTATTTTAACCAGAGGATTTTTTTTGTTTTTGTTTTTTACTTAAAACATCAGCATGAGAAACTTACCCAGTTTTAATGGTTAAGGTCTGCTGGCTATATAAAGAGAATCTCGGGGTCAGACCCAGTCCTAGTGTCTAGGTAGCTCTGCCCTGGTTCAGAGAAACATGACTGATAGCCTGTGTTTAGGAACCTGCTCTGGAATTATATACATACAGCTAAATTAACTACCAGTTGGATAACAATACTTGCACAGATTTGAATGCAGAATTGAACAGCTTTCCTAAACCAATCTAATCTGAATTGTACAATCCTTTGAAATGGTAATACAGTGTGAAATAGGGCATAAATACTCAGTGATGTGGGCTTATACATATAAAGCTACATTCTATAAATATTTTTTTTACAAAATAGGATATAGTTTTTATTCCAGTAAAAAAACCTAACTATATTTGTTACAGATTAAGGATTTTATAAAGATTGGTGAGTTTAATGACCAAGCAATTATTTGAAATCGGGATTCCCCAATGCCAGAATAAATACAGAAGCAATATTATGCTGTGTTCTAGGGCAGTGTTTCTCAAACTTGACAATTTTAAGGCATGAGGACTTCAACTCCCAGAATTCCACAGCCAGCAACGCTAGCTGTGGAATTCTGGGAGTTGAAGTCCACATGCCTTAAAATTGTCAAGTTTGGGAAACACTGCAGGGTATGAATAATGGATTGTTCTCAAAATAATATAGAAGCACTGGCCTATGGCTCTTGTTCAAGTGATTTGTCTGGTTCTCAGCATTTTACCTCTGTGAAATGGGTTTTAAAGCAGGATCCAAAAGAAGTAAGCTTTATTTTTTTTTTAACTAAAACCACTTTGTTTGTACTTGGATTCCTGAGTACCGTTAACCTCTCCCAAATTTGAAATATCATGACTTAACCTATTTCTTTGTGTCTTACCATATGATGCCTCAAAGTAATAAGCAACTCAAACAATACTTGACTAATAGATTTTTAAGGATTTTTTCAATGCATTCACCAATCTCTCAAGAGCACTTTGAAAGTAATATACAGTAGTCTTCTCATGCTTATTTCTGTTTTCTGTTCAGTATATTGAAAACAAGGGCAAACCCCATTTGATCACTGTTCCACTTCAAATTCCTATACTATCTCTGGTGATAAATATCTTCTCTATACCATTATTTTTCACAAAAGGGAAATAAATTACATAAAAATTCTCCCTTTTTAAAGATCATTTTGTATGTTTGAGAGAATGCAGGGTTTTCAGTAATAAGTTTTGGGTTTTGAGTTTTTCAATCCTTGATTGAGTTTCTAGGTTTTTTTATTTTAAAATTTAATGAAATCTAGATTTTTCTATTTGTTGCATTATGTTGTATATATTAAATAGATAAAAATAATTTAGTTTGAGACTGATTTATTATATGGAGTTTTTTTATGGAGAATCTGGCTTTATTTGAGCACAGAATCTTGGTTTTTTTAGGAAACCTGCTGGCAACCCAGAAAACCCAGATCCTGGTAGGTTGTTGAGATAAAGGTAACGGTTATACCATTGATTACTCAGAAATACCACACAGCCGTAGGTTTTCAAAGAGAAAAGTAGTGTTACTCTACTTTCAAACATATAGTAGCCAAGCCAGAAACAAATATACTAGGCTCTTGAGTATAGAGGACATCACAGGATTCTCAGCAAGAGTCCTTATGTGCAAATAATCAAGACATCACAAAGGGCAGTGGAAGCTTTTGAATTATTTCAAACTTTCCACCAGAAAGATGTTATGAAAACAAGAGGTAAGAGAACAAACTATAAAGATCTTGCATTTTTATAGTATCTTGAATTAACATTAACATTTACAACCTCTTTTATACCATTTTGATTTGGCTCTAATATATTACATTCTGGATTTTGGATTTTTTTTTCCTAAGGAAAAAAGTTATTTAAAAGTTCTAGGGCACGTGACAGGAGAACCAGTAGCTGCTGAAATTGGGTCTTCAAACAAGACCATATATTTGATATTAGGAAAGCTGAATATTAAATCATACACTAAATCAGTTATTCAAATAAGTTACTTCTATGAATGAATATTAAATTGTTCAATTAAGCAAATGAAGATACCAATTGAGAGAAATCCTGTTTCATAGCTTTTAAAGATGACACACTCTGTTTTATGGAGTATGGCTTTGAAAGAGCAAAATGTAAATGCAGAAATAATTGTAGATTAAGCTATTCAAATTACCCTGGGCAAATTAGTATGCATTTTAAGTAAAGGATAATATAGGCATTGGAACAGCAGACTCAAGCTTTAATATTTGTGCTATGATATGAAGATTCTTGTTAAACATGAATTGAGCCACAACAGTGGACTAAAGTTAGAAGCCTAAATTAGAATTTAGGGTCCAAGTTCTCATTTGCTCACAAAACTTACTGACAGCACTATAGTATAATGTTCACCAGGAATTATTCAAGGAATTATTTCAGGTCAGTGGATCTGAAATTGCAGCCTGCATAATTTTAAAGCAGTAAGCCTCCTTACTATATTATCATGAACCACATGTTTAAACTAGTTTAGTGGCTCACATTAACTGCTTTTGCACCTTCTGCTAAGCCATAGTAACTATTTGATTTTTTGACAATTGTTTTAACTTTCTGCAACTCACTTGGAGCATTGTGCATAAAATGAATTGGAGAGGGCAAACCACATAGATCTTTACAAGCAGAATTGGATAAAAATAGTAATAGTTGATGTTACTGGAACTATAGATGCTTCTACTCTTTGTCTTTTCTTTTTTTCTTTGTGATATGTACCTTCTAGAAGAAGCTTTTCGTGGTTCTCCAGTTTTCTGAGGTCAGGTGGGCTGAAGTCCAAAAGCATCCATTTGGGGATGACTTCTATTTTAGAGAGTAGCCTCCTTGATGCTAGGTTGGCACTTGCCTTTTGTCATTAGGGAAACTGGTGAAAGCAGAGCTTTTCCAGGAAGCTTTAATAGGCACTTCCTATTTTTTTATGGCTCCAGATAAATAATCATCTGATTCTATTGTGCCTTTATAAATTATATTGTTTTGTGTTCAAGTTCTTATGATGTAAGTCACCAGGAGTCCATGGTAATTGCTATGAAATTTCACTCTTTCAAGATTCAGTTAATGTGTAGTCTTGCAATAAATCTGATCTGTTTCCTGTCTGATCTTTCCTTCCCCATATACTTAATTGATTGTTCCCTAGGCAGCATCTCTTCCCTGTCTCCCAAACTCATCCCACATACTACTACATATTAGCCCTAGTATAAAAACAAAATAATAAAAATAAGCCTAGGCTTTCTATATATTTACTCTTGGTAGAGTGCAAATCAGCCTTCCATAGCCTAGATGCCTTTCAGTTCCCAGAATGGACTACAACCTGTTTGCAGCCAAAGTCTCAGGTTCATCACGGGGGTCGCCAATGAACTCAACCAAATACCTGATGATATTTCAGGAGCTGATTTCTAAAAACTTAGTAAGCTTGTGCTTAAGAGATAACACTGTACTGAATCTGATGGTTGAGTAGTTTAACCTGGTATAATATAATATCGTAATGTAGTTCTTCAACTGCAGTGGACCCATAGCTGGAGTTCT